GACCAAAGCCAGAGGAACCATCTCGCTTCAGTGGTGTGACCAAAAAAATCTGTACATCGGTGGCTTCTACTTGAGGCATTGTACCATCGTGACAGACCTGTCCTGCTTTTGCCTGGGCAAGCTAATGCTGCCACATGGCACTCTTTTAGGTGGCTGTGTCTGGGGTGCTCTGCTGTGTGGGCAGCAATGTTGGTTTAGGTAAACGTTGAATGCCATCAGCCTTGGCATTTCTTGTGCTTACTTCCAGCCACAATCCCTGTGTAGCCATGGTGAAGCTGCTCAATGCTGGCTGTATGAATGTGATGGGTATCCAGTCTCCCTGTCAGAGATTCCTGAGTGAAAAAAACACTGTTAATTCACCAGCTAGAGGTCAGGGCAAAGGTTTAGATCACTTCTGGTTTTATTCTAACTTGATTGCTCACCCGTAGTAACCAGCCTGTCTGAGAACAAGAGTGTATGCAAATTCCCTGAGCTATTATTCTGTATTAAAAAAAAAAAAAAAAGGCTGGGGTATGACTTTAGACTTAATCATCATTTATCCTACCCTGAAGGCATGGAAGTTAATGATGATATAGATCTGTGCGGTTTTGTGTTCCCCTTGACTGAGCATTAGAAATAATTAGGGCTTGTGGGATGGATGCACTGATGGTGGAGATGAGCAGAAAACATTTTTGAATGTGTGTATGTGCCTCTTCCAAGTTTGCTGGCAAAGATACAGGTGCTAAGTGTGTGCTTATGGGCTCTGAGGTTTCTTACTTGTTCGCTGAGACATAGCTAGCTGGTGTTGAGGAGAAAGGAAGCGGGAATAAATGAATTCTGTTATTTTGGAGGCTTTCAAGATTATGGGCCAAGCAGAGTTGCTAGTGATTTCTGGATAGATTTCTTCAGCGGGGTAAGCTTTCCTGCATCCCAAGTGCTGTTGAGTACAGCTCTGGGTTATGCCTGCGAAGCATCTACAGCGTTGGGGCTAGTCCAGGGATTCCAAGCTCTACAGGAGGCTGGTGCTAGACCTCTTGAAGTATGGAAGCCTTAAGCCCATAGTTGGAGGTTTTCCTGAGTTACCTTCTTCAGTGACCTGAGTGTTTGGGTTAGTTGGTTATTAGACAGCCATGGCCAAATGCATACTGATGGTCATCACAGGTTGGATGGGGAGGAGCTGGTTCTGCTGCTCTAGAGAAGACCTCTGGTCTCTTTCTCTGCCTTGCTGTGGATTGAACCAAAGACAGTTTCAGGGTTGTTTTTATTCAAGTGCAAAAAAGCTTCACCTCTTCCCAAGTAGCCACGCGGTGAGTTATGGAAGCATCTGGGATGGTGGCAGCCCTTCTATAAAGTCTCTGCTAAAATGGTTTCCTCTGTGTTACAGGTACCTAGTTTACCTGCTGTTTGCCCACTGTTTCTTCCCCAGCCTGGCCAATCTGCAGTTTTTTGATGAAAACCATTTTAGCAAAAATAATGTTCCTGCCAGGCTGGAAGGTGATGGGAAGAGAGGTGGTGCTGAGCCTGTATGGACTTGTGTAGTGGGACTGTGTGCTGGTGGCCTCTCCGGCAGTATGGGATGGGAAGGCTGCCTGAGAGTGTCCCAAAAGTGCTGGTAGCACTGTCACCCTGCATGGGGAGCTCTTGCAGCTGGGCCATTGGAGGAGCCACCCCCTTGGACAGGGGATGCTGGGGCTCTGGCCTGGTTCAAGGCTGAATTGGGGTGGGGTTGGGACCTGGCAATGATGCAATTAAGGGACAGATGTAGTAGAAAGGGTAGGGTGCTGATGGGGAGGATGCAGATACCTTGATTCTAGATGGAGCAGTGGTAATTGGTGTTTATACCAAAATCTTGGGGATTCTTAAAACAAAACATTTTGGTCCTTGCAGTCAATTTAGAATAACTACTGGCTAAATATAGTCCTCAGAGCAGATCAATGTAATGCAGAATTTTAGAAGACAGACTGTGAAAGCAGTCCTGGGTAGAAGCTCATGGGGCAGCCAGAGGCTCTGCTGTGCCTTAGCAGCCCCTCAGAGCTGTCTGAGCTGTGCTGGGAGCCCCCCCAGTCTCCAGAGCAGCCCAGGCACAGCCGGAGCTTAAAGTCACTTGTCACTTTTTGTGTTCCTGGCATGTGAATTTTGGATTACTGTGTGGTGCCTGTCAAAAAGTGTATCCTGTCCTCTGCTATATATTTTGTTCTATACAGAATTCTACTGAAATAAGGGAGGAATTGAGTCTTTTCTAATTGGAGATTTAGTATTCAGCTCCACTGGCTGACTCACCGGTAGGAAAATTCCCACTGACTTGAGTTAGAGTTGAATGGATTGTATTATCTTTTCATATGCAGAAAATTATTTTGAAATTGAAGTTAATAACAGCAATTTAAAAATTGTCATTGATAGAAAGATAATACAATATTTAGTTGTATCATGTTCTTTTTATGATCTGATGTTTGAAGAAAAGCACTTTTTCTGCTTTTTTCCTTAATTAGCATGTCATGAAGAAGTTTGTGGCATCAAATACACTATCTAATTACATTCATTAGTAGCATCTCCAGGACAAGTTTTAATTAAGTTGTACAATGTAGATCAATACTTGTTTTGCATCCATTGCAACTTACGACAGGAATATACTGTTCTGCACAGTTTAATTACAGTGATTGTAATAAAAGGAATTTGAGTAAACCTGCCATTTTGGCAACCGCACTCCTGTCTCTTGCTTTTTAAAATAGTATACAGTTATACTATGGGACATGTTATTTATGTGTCCTATTTTGAAGAATATTTTAAGGTTAATCTTTTTATCCCATTAAAAAGAAAATGCAGTGTGGTTCAGGAGCACTTGGGTACTAGTGCTTGACTTCAGCTGGAGCAGGAGAAATTAATGAGCTTTTTACCTGAAGGCTTCAGGAGGAGAAAGACTGGCCATCACTGTGTAGATGATAGCAATGCTTTATTTTGCTTAGACTGTGGGGTGGAAAGCCGCCTAATTGTATGTTTACTTACTGTGAATATAGTTCAGGCTGGTCTCCGAGTATTGCTTCCACCAAATGTCCTGTAGTTCGGAAGCATTGCCAGCTCCCAACTGTTCTCTGTTTTGGCAGGAGAAAGCAATCCAGGCATGAAAACCCTGAGCTACCACATGTTTTTGCTCAACATCATGGAAAATATACTTGACCAGGCAGAACATCTATATGCCTTATGACAGTGTCCTGCATTAATATTTGCATAAATTGTGAAAATACCTGGACAGACAGATCTCTTTTGTTTGGTGCCAGAGCTGAGAACTGATTTTTTTATTTTTTTTTTTTTCTACCTCGGCATTGTATTTTTGTATTTTGGGCTGCTTTTGTGTACAAGGGATTACAGTAGTCAGCCTTCAGTACAGTACAATGATTAAGATCAAACTGACTCAGAGAACTTTGTTTTTTCAAACTAAATATGTTGTTTAATCTTCATTTGTTTTTTAAATACTCCTTAACATTTTAAAGGAGCATGCCTTTTAGTTTAGTATACTTCTGGGTTTTCTTACTATGCCTCTGTAAATAGTGTAATCCTGATATCTCAGGTACTCACTTGGCAGCATTTTTAATTTTGTCTGCGGTGCCTTGCAGTGGGGTGTCCTGGGCTGGTGTAAGAAAGGGTCTGTATGCCCCGTAGGTGTTTGCACTGGTGTGTTTGGCTGTGCAGAGACAGCAAATCAGCCTGATACACAGGTACTAGGGGTGAGGGTTATGATACATCCTTTATGCTTGTGCATGCAACCTGTTTGTTCCTCTTCCCTAGCAATCTTTAAGTACCTACATGGTTGCATTTCTAAAGGAGTGACTGCAAAGCCTCCTCCCCCTGTTTCAAGCTTGTTCTTGGGCTAGATCATCATGGGCTGGAAAGTCTTCAAAGTCCAATTGTGAAAACTTCCAGTGGGGTTTTAAAGAGCACATAGGGTGGAGATCAGGAATTGAAGACCCAGTGAAATCTCTTCCTTTTCAGGAAGGACATGAGTACAAAAAGCGAGGTATTACGCAGACAAATATACTGTGAGAAGTGAGTGTTGTAATACAAAGTGAAGGAAGTGTGCTATTAAAGTGGAAGAAAGTTCCTCCTAGGTTGAGATTTTGGATGACAGCTGTTGATTCAGAGACAACCTTTTAACTTGGGGATTTAAAGCCCTGGGTACAGGAGGTAAAAGCTCAGCATCAGAAGCTGCTATTTTTCTTAGCTGAGTTACGTGTGTGTGGATTTAATTACTTCACACTTTTTACTCAGTATTTCAGGTAATATGAGGGGAAAAAATGTATAAGCTTGGGAGTGTTTTTTTGCTGTTTAATGGAGATTGTTGATTGCTTATGGGACTTAACAAAGCTACTCTGAATTTAGGGGGGGGGGGAGAAGATCCCTTGGATCTCTTACAATGAAGTTGTCTAAGACTTGGGGAAAAACATGGGAGAGGGAGAAAAGAATAGATTCCTGATAAGAGTAATACTGTAATACATCCACATAAAATACTTAAAAAATTGAATTCATAATAATCGGGAAACTCTGCATGTTGTTTCTTGTTTTATTTTTGTCTTCAATGCCTGATTATGCTAAAAACATATGCCACCTTAGAAGAGATGTGTGTATAAACATGTATAGATGTTTGTGAGTGTATGTGTATACCTATATACTGTATGTCTTCCACACTGTGTTTATGTGTATATGTCCTATGTATTTATTCCCCCCAAAAGACCAGATTCTAAGAATGTGCAGGATCTGGGTCTTACAGAAGCTTAGTGTATTTGCAACTTGGTTTCAGTGGCAGATCTCAAAGGAATAAAGTAATGCTATGCGTAGAATTATTTTCAGTGTATGACCTCATTGTTAGAGGAGTTTATTGCATTGTTGTTCTGCTTTACAAAAATCCAACTTTCTTGGTTATTTATAAATAGCCTGCTTACCATAGCCACCCAAACCTTGAAATATTTACTGACGTTTGAAATCCATCCATCTTTCTTAACAGTTTTTTTTTTTTCTTTTATTTTCAGTGAATTTACTGGACTCACGCACAGTAATGGGGGATCTAGGATGGATAGCCTACCCAAAAAATGGGGTAAGTCTCTGTTGTTGTTTGCTTTTTCTCTCTCTCAAATTATACTAATCGTTTCCATTCGGAAAGTAGACTACTGGGTTTAAAAACTCCCTGGAGTGATTTGTTGGCAATGGAAGGGAAAAAAAATAAATAAAACAACAAGCTGTGACTGGAAAAATGGAGCTGTGTGGCTAGGGGATTGATTTATTTATGCAGTAGAGCCAGCCACAAGTATAAAAAAAAAAACCAAACCAAAAACAAAACAAAAAAACCATGAGTCAGCCTCCTCACACCTCCCCTCACCAAGAAAATCCATGATGTTATTTAACTTTTTTTAAAAATATAAATTTCTGCTCTTTTCTTCTTATGCCTTTGCAGTAAATGTACAACACAATTTTCTGAAAGTTTTCTTCTGAAACACAGGGTCTGGGACACTGCTGTGAGCTTTAAAGGAACAGCGTTGTTCAGAAATACCTCTCAGGCACATGATAAAATTCTGGGAGCTGATAACACTGGAACAGGAGCTGAGTTTTAAGTACCTTGAAGAACCTCTGTCCCTTACCATTACCTATACTGAGAACTGAAAGAACCTGGCCTCTTAATTTGATACCTGAAATAAGTGCTGAAGTTTAAAGACATTACTACCCTCCAGTGTGTCTGCTTGGCCTGACTGCATCGTGCGAGCAGTCATTGCTGTGACTTTAGGTCTTTGGTTTGGCTGGGGCATCCTCGATGCTGTACTGTAACAGAGCTTTGGTACAGTCTCAAAAGGTTGACTTCTGCACAGTGCTGAGTATTCCTGTCAATTCCCGGGACCCATGAGCACTGTGTGAGTTGAGAAAGCATCCCAAGACAAATGCTGTGCGACTGAGCTCTCCAACAGGGCGGCTCTCAGGAATGTGTTATTCCAGAGTTTTAGTCACCAGCTGAAATGGGCTGCAGAATTGTCTTGGATGCCAGTTGGATTGTCATAAAAATTGTGGCAATGTTTATATAAGACGCAGCCAACCCTGCATATATATATATACGTTACACAGTGAATTAAAATCTGGCTTTCTGTATATTCTGTGTGGATGAAAGGTTGTAGAAATGGCAGCCTCACTCAGACAAGCTGCATGTTTGCAGGCACTGGTTACGGCAGGGATGTAAAAGCTACATAGGGCGCTGAGTTTATCCTCAACTCAGTTCAAGATCTAATCTTGTTGTGGTCAGAGTCTATAGCATATTTTTTTATCTACTGTTTTAAAGCCAAGAACTAAACTTGTTCCCCTGGCATGTGTGGGCATCAGAATAACCAGTGCCAGATGTGCTGGCAGAGCAATGTGTTGGTGCTGTGGCACACCATAAAGATCCCGATGTCCACTTCTTAATGGAAGATTTTTCCTTTTTGGACACCCCTGGTATTTTTCCTATGGTATAAAGCACCGTTGCTGTATATCCCAGTATCCTTACGGGAATATCAGTAGGAAAATAACTAGGCCTGAGGAGTTCAGAAGACTTCTGAGTCTGTGTAGATGAGTAAATGAAAAGCTAAATATCCTATGCATAAGCCTCAGTTGTGTCTTTTCATTATTTAGAGACACCTTTCTATATTTACAAGCTCAGTTTCCAAACAGCACCTGGAAGTGCATTCATGAATGCCAAATCAATGGTTACTGACTCAATAGGGAGATTTTTTTTCCTTAAATTAACTTCCACAAATAAAGTGAATCAGGCAGTTGGTTTTTGAATTTCTAGAAATCTCCTCTTAATCTTCTTTGTTTTCATGGGACATCATAAAAATTCAGGAGGTTAGTCCAATTGTCTCTTTTTTGGCCTAATATATTTGCAGTATTTTACAAGTACTGAGAAAAGTCTTTCCAGATTTACTTCTCTAACTCCCTTACATGCTCTGCAATCAGCTATGCTGCAGTCATACTCTGTTTCCTTAATTTTTTTTTTTAAAAAAAAAATCTAACTCGTATAAATATTTTAAGTAACTTTCACTTTAGGGTTTGAATTTGGAAAAGGAGGGAGCTTTAATTGAGATCAGAGATATGGAAGCATTTTTTGAGGTATTTTTATACAAATTTGTTATGTCAGAATGTCCTCGTAGGGAAAATTTTGGAAGGTCCATGTATCTGTCTGCACAGTGCCCCATCAAGGAAAGGAGCAGAAATGGGATAATGTATCACACTTCGCAACACTACAGTGTGTAGATACAGACCATGTGCTGAAGTAAGCTTTTTGATGCATGGTATTTTATTATTGCTATTAACAGTATCTTGTAGAGTCTAGTCACTTTTCAAGTACATGGTAGCAATTTCAATGGTGATATAGTTCCAACTGAAGATATGTTAGCTTTTGAAGCAGCCTTCAGCTCTTTTAGTGTTGCTGCTTCCTCACTTGATTTTTGTTAGGAATCTTAAAGAAATGTACTATTTTTCCTAGAACCACATGTCCTACAAGTAGGAGATTGCACCAGGAGCACAGCTGCTGTTAAAGAAAGCAAGTGTTTAGTCTTTGTAGTTGTATGGGAGTGCTTGGGAGAAGTTATCTGTGTATCACAAAGGCTCAAGCTGGTAGGTTTTGAAAACAGATTTCTACATTTATTGAAAAAAACCCCACTACCGCCACCAAAAAAACAAAACCCCCACCAAAACAATGGGGCTAAGAGGTCCAGTCAAGCCAAATGAGCTTGCTTTTGGCAGATTATTTGTAGGTATCATCATCTAATTTTTTGTTATAGCTGTGTGCCATGGTAATTTTTGTGTATTAAAGCTTTAAAACATTCCATGCTCCAGGGACGTCTAGCTGCCCTCATTTAGTCTGTTGTTCACCTCATTTTTGCTGAACACAATAGGAAAATGTGATCTAACTTGGGAAATGAAAGCAGCAGTGAATGGGAAGGAGACTGATCCTCCAGTCTGGAGACAGATTAAGCTTAGAGGTAGACCTGTTTCATGGCTGTAATTCCAAATAAAGCACCGCAGCTGCTTTAGTCCCCACAAGATCAGACCTTGGTCTACTGCTAAACAGTGTGCACCAGCTCATCTTGTGAGTAATGGGTTTTAGGGGAAGGGAGAGGAGCGCTTTAGCCAAGGGTTGCCTCTGCAGAGCTTTGTCTAGCCCGGTCCTTATTTGGTACAGGTTTTGGTAGTGTCTAGTTTCCTTGCAGCCTGGCCAGCCTTCATTTCCCCCATGCACATAGAAGGTAAGAAAAATCCCCCCTCCTCCTTCGTATGGAGTATTGAGGGATCAGGGGAAGTGAAATGATGTGAGTGAAGTAGGCTGTGGCCAAGCAGGGGTTGAAACAACGTCTCCTGGTGTGAAGAACTGGCTGTTTGCAGGAGAAGGTGCTTTCTTCTTTCTGCTGCTTTGCTCTGAAGGATTAATGAATCGTGGTAGTATGGCTTCCTGGCTGCCCCACGAGGCCTTCCCTGGCTGTGTGGGTTCAGCAGCTTGCAGCAGTAGGCTCTTAAACCTGCAGTTATATCTGTTAGAGCGTGAGGAAAGTCCTTGTGAGGTCTGCGTGGCCATGGAGCTCAGAAAATGGACTCTCTCCCTGCCGGTGGAGTGTTGTCAGCATGGAAGTGCTGCCCCTTTTGCAGCTCAAGTTGGGAATTGATCCTGTTATTACATGCCAAAGGGACAATTTGGACTTGGCTTTGCAGGTCATGTAAGTTTACTTTAACCTGAAGGAGGTCATTGGGATTATCAGAGGCTGTATCAGAAAAGTCTGGTCCCTCTTGTGTGGTAGGAAGCCCTCCAAGCACATCAACAAAACCAGTCAGGTTTTCTTATTGAAGCCTATACTTGTACAGCAGGTCTGCAAAGCCTTTTACCTCCGGACTGATTCCTGGGATGCCTCTTAGGATTACCGAAACTGGGCACATCAGAGGTTTACATGTGCATTATATATGGATGGGACACCAACTAGCTCTGACCTACAGAAACTGCCTGCACTTGCCTGTGCTAAACATACTTGCTTATTGTGTGGAAGGTCACAGAAGTAGGAACAAGGGTAAGTGCTGTGAGAGAAATAGCCGGGTCAGGTCAGGCAGTGTTCGTAGGCTATATTGCCTCTTCTTCTCCCTTATTTTGGCAGGACACTCTGCCTGATGCATTTTGACTCCCTGCAAAGCCGTAGCAGGGGGAGAAGCTAGAAGAAGTCCCCTGTAAACCTTTGCTGTTCAGTCTTATTTGGTCTGGCCAAATAAAAACACAGCCACTTCTAACACTGTCCAGATAATTGCAAAAGTTGCTGATTAAAATAAATGCTTTATTTTAGCTGGCTTGATTTATTCAGCGATTATGTCTGATTTTTGTTTCAGTGGCTATAATAGCACTGATTTACTTGTTTCAGACCCTCCCTCCTTTCAGGGTTTATTTTAAAACTTATTTCTTTACAGCGTAGAAGTACTCTTTTTCTGTCCAAATCAGAGCATCGTACACCTGCTTTGCTTTTGTGTAACAATCCTCTTCCATCCCCTCCACCTCCTGTTCATTTCCCTGACCTTCCTCTAGCACAGAACAGGAAAGCCTCTGTGGTCCTTGGGGTATTGGCTGTGTGCTGTGGCTTGTTGCGCAGCTCCATGTGCTGGAAATTTTTTTTAGGCTCAGACAGGAAAATAAACATGTACTAAGGAACCTGGTCCTGTGGAGATGTTAATAATTCTTTATTCATTGCAGAAAAGGAGAGAGCTAGATGACTTCTTGCATGTGAACAGCAAGAGGGAAGGCAATTACCCCTGCTTTTGGTGGTTGGTAAGGCCAAATACTGAAAGTCAGGGGGGGTAAATTCAGCTAGATTGATTCTGCAAGTTGCTTCTCATTTATGTAGGATATTGGTGGGTTTGATTTTTTTTTTTGAATTTTTTTCTTTTGCAAGCAGCATTTCTGGCTCATTCTTTTGAGGACAGGTACCCTAAGGTGCCTCTTTGAAGTTAAAAATAACAGTGGTTTAGATTACTCAGCGTGCTTCATTCATGTTGCTCTCTGTTGATCTTAGTTCAGATAGAGATTTTTATACAGGAATCCTA